GCTCTCTTCGCTCAACTAGGCGCTCTAACAGGCACGGAACGGCCCACCCACGGTAACTATGGTAACTATGGCAAATCGTCGTTAACACCCCATAGTGTACTGTAGTTTGTACCTAATGGCTTGTAGCGCGAATCGCTACAGTTTCAGAATGCAAACATTGTACACTGGTGGTAACTATGGTAACTATGGCAAATCGTCGTTAACACCCCATAGTGTACTGTAGTTTGTACCTAATGGTTTGTAGCGCGAATCGCTACAGTTTCAGAATGCAAACATTGTACACTGGTGGCAAACCTAACTGAATAATGTACCATTGGTGTGTAAAGTACATGATACATGGGATCGATAAAATAGTCAAGTAAACACATTCAGGAAGACAAAAAAAAACAAATTGAAATGCTGTCGCCTCGCTGCAAAATTGGTACGTCAGAAAGAATCGATGGGCAGCTTTTAAAAGTGTAACGACATAAACGTTTTAACAAAATTATTGAAGCTATATTTTGTCATCCGCTAAAGTGTAAGCAACTAAATATTTGAGGTACAGTGTACTTTTTGTATTTACATGTATTATTCAGACATTATTCAGAATATTAGCCAAAAAATGTTAGCCAACAAAGTCTTCGGGAAACGCAGCAAAACAGATATTGCATCGACTATCTGTTTCATTCTTTATAGTCAAATTACCTATGCAAATTAGAGTGTTAATTAAACTTATCTCGAAACAAACACGTTTCCTTAAAACTATTACCGACAGAACATGACTCCGACTATAATTTGAAACAAGAAACAACATTGAATCAACAAACTTGCGACAAATATAAACGAAAACCATATTAGATCAAACATACACCCTAGGTGTTATATTCACCTGTTTTTGTCTTTTAGCACTTTACAATCAGTTGACGATGTGAAGTAACAACACACGAAACACATGAGTTAACGTGTGTCCATGGATGTGGATTGCACGCGCTCGTCCAATCGCTGTTATAGTTGCAACAATCGATATACAGTTTACATTTCATTCCCGATTATATCTCAATTACCTATGCACCGCGTGATACATATCTAGTCTGCAATTCGGTTGCGACACCCGACTATCGATTCTTCGATAACGACGATGTCTGTCATCTAAAGCTATGATATTATACTTTTCTAAATTATCGTTATTAGTTGACAATTTTTGGTGTGGATCGCAAACACGTTTTTAGATAGTGAGTATATTTTTTGTTATTGCCCTAATTCACTTATAACTTTTAATAAAATTGTGTTTGATATATTACACATATTGTTTCATTTTTCTAACGTATATCCTGTATCATTTATTCTTGAATATGTTATTAAGTAATAGGTGGAGGTTTTGATGTTACAACAAATGTTCTATGAAACTTAGCTGCTCCTTCAGTAGCGTAGAAGAGGAAATTCCTAATTAAGATATTTTTTCCAAATAAATTTACTTTATATTCGCATATTTTATTAGTCCTACGGTTAATTGTGTATAATGATTTGTAATTGTTCTTATTTTGCGTTTGTTTATCATTTACTCTCTCATAATATCAGAAAGTAAATTCTCATTTTTCATGGGGATTTGTTTTATGAAAACCCATAAAATAACGAAAAGCTTTGATTTAATAAACCCGCTCGAACGATTTTGATTGACATTTAGTATTTTATAGTTATTTAACCCTAAATAAAACTATACAAACTCTATTGCTGTAAAAATACGGTTAAAAGCTATTGCAACTTTGCGATTTTCCTAATACAAAAAATTCTAATTGCTCCCACCACTTACCCATAAGGGTTGTTGACAAGCTAATGGGAGAAATGATGTCAGATTACTGATACTATTTTTTTTCATTTGGTTTTCTTTTCAACGCCATGAATTTTTCTTTTTTTAAGAGAGTGGTTTGAATCGAGGTTTTATTACTATGTTATGTGAAACTAGACATTTTTATTTTTTACTATATTATGTCGATAGTTTGTTAGGATCGAAGCAACAACCTTCAGACTTGAGTACAGTATAGGCTACCGAGAGAGTAATCATCCAATTATAATACATTAATGTATACAAACGTGTTAAAATCATTATGTACTAAATATTAGTATAAACACTAATCATTTAACCGAAGTTTAGCCCATTCAACTTGTTCCAAACAGCTGACAATCGTACGAGAGAAACCAAGGTCGACGAGACGAATCAGTCTCGGGTTTCAACCGAATTGATGTTTTCACACCGATCTGAAATCTAAACTGTAGCAAAATGTGGATTGATCTCCATCCAGCGGACATAACCTTTTGTTAACTTGATAGTCAGTTTGTAATTTCAGCTCAAGCAGTGAGCGAGACCCAAGGTTGGACGGCGTGAAAACTCCTTTCTACCTTCATTACAATATGTGCCTGATTATATGCATACTTTACATTTCGTGCCGTACTGCCTGTTGTGCCGTGCCTTTGTTAACCTTTGACTTATTGTCTCATCTGTTGTCTCTGTTTCTACAGGGATATTTGTGTTATTGTGTAATAAATTGATTTGTAGCCTTAGCGAAACTTGTGTGAATCATCTAATAGGATTTATTGTTTCTTAATGTTTACGTATAATTTTTCCATTCGATTATGTGTGGAACGGTCTGAAGATTTGTTTACTATTTTTTTTCTTTCAGCTGATGAGTCACTTTCATTTTGTACTTAAATAACTGTAGGTATCATAAGGGTCGGGAGACATAATACGTAAATTATTAATTATCAACTTAACCTCTGATACCTTGACACAAGTAATCTTTTAGGCATTTGACAAATTTTGAATATGTATAGCTTTGGTAATTCCTTCTGCTTCTTCATTTTAACTTTTTCACACTATAGAGGGAGTTGAAGTTTTTACTTCCTTAAGATTTTTTTAAGTGAGGTGATTCCTACTCCTGTTCCATTATAATTCAAACTCTCGTTCAATCCTAAAACTAAATATTTTGAACTCACGATACTTTTTGACCAAATAAGGTTTTGACCACACGAAACACTGGGCAACTTCTTAGCGTGATGCTTGATGACGAAAAAGCTACGTATTTTCCCTGAACCGATGTCTATGATTCATTCCAGCGAAGACGTATAACACTTAACACTTTCAGACGACAAAAATCACCCTCATTAATGCTGGATATCATATATTATTTGTCGGACGCAAAACCGCCGAGAATGCGATGAGGCGCCGCGCCGACAATGGCGCAGAAGACGAAGGCGCATTTTTTACACGTCATGTTCAATTTAAGAATCCCTGTCGTCGTGCCATTTGTTTTATGTATGAACGCCTCGCTGTTTTTGCTCCGCGTCTCGTTCCCATAGCGAAAGTTGGGTGCTCTTTTTGTCCCGTCGTCTTCTTCACGTGCCCGACCCCTTTCTACCATGACAACAGTTCGTGCAGCGATTGCTGCAATGTATACTAGATCTTGTTTAAGCAACGATTGGCCTTAAAAAAGTAAGTATGTGGGTGTTTGAGAAGTGGATTTTGGAAAGTATTGGAATGACTTGAGAAGTGAGTGTAAACCATCGGAACATCTGAACGTTTTCCATGGTGACTACTGAAGTGCTGCAATGACTTAAACCTTTGCAATGACTTTACATTTTTCGTCATGGTTCTTCATAGAGAGAGTAAAAGGATAGTGTTCTAACTACTCCAGTGTCAGAGCTGTAGAAACAGTAGTGCCTGAATAATCACCTTCACGTCTAATAACTTCTGAGAGAACAATATATATGATAACCATACGCAGTGCAAAAGCTGGTCAGAATCCTAACCCACTAATGATATTGGTTGTGGTCTTCTATTTTTTAAACATTTAAATTGACTTAGCGAGAACATAAGAGTGTTTTCGTCATTATTGTTCCTGATAACGATTGATTACTGCACTGTTTTATCTTTAATTTTCACAGGTTTGAAAAAAGGGTGAAGAGTCTCTGTGTGCTATAGATCAAATGAAGCCTCAGTAGGGCAAAAGTAGTCTCCAGATTCTGGATTGGGCTTTGATTGCCAACAAAGTATAAGTGGACTTCTGAAGTTTTACCAGATCTTAAAACAATTTTAAGGGTAGGATGTAGTTTCAAATAGGATTTTCTGTTTTATCGATAGTTTTTATATTGAATTACTTTGGCAAATGTATTGAGGATTAAGACTGACCTGAGGATTCTTGCCACAGACAAATAATATGCACGTTGAATTATTGCAGTTTATTATGCCTAAGTTAGATTCATGATTAATTTGAAATGGTGTTTTCTGCCAAGAATGGCAAGTTATAAGCGTCGTGGCCTCTGATTGGCTGCACTTGTCACCAGTCCTGGTACTTGGGAACAAACGGCCTGGCAACGACGGTAATTGCTCACTTACGCCAGAAATAACTCCAATTTACTCTTAATTCCGTTAATTTTCTCACAACTATTACCTCAAGAGGCTCAGAATGCGTGCGCGACATACGCAATTAACATAAGATGGTTAATTAAGGCTATAAAGATTGTAAATGGATAAACAAATGTTCTGGTGTATTTTTATAATTCGTGATTAGTGGACGCTTACAATGGGTGGATAGACAAGAACTCTATAATGTTCCTGAAGTACTCTTTGTATATGTTTCATGGGTTCGCTATATGGTGTAGGTATAATAAACACGTGTAGTGAGTTTGCATTGCGAAATTATTTCATTCAAAAGAGTTGGCAAATGGCCAAAACAATTACTGTTCATTTCGACAACTTCTACTTCTTCGGTCGTTATTTTGAGAGCACACATGTATTGTACTCTTGTCACTGAAAAGATCCAGATTAAGCGTTCTAATTACTAAAACTGTATCTCGTGATCGGATGTTGATGAATTAGATGCAATGAACAGATATACGTGTTAATTTAGTGGGTTTTTCCTTCGAAAGAAAGCATGCTCAATTTTCAAGATCTTTTTGACTGTTTGAAAATCATCTAGCTTATTTTGATCCACAGCTCTCACCCCACCTACCACCTTACAACATACCTTTCCCCATCCGATGGTCCTTCATCTTATCATCGTCCATCATCAGGTCATCTTTGCTCTTGTCATCACAGTCTGAGATGATGGCGTCGTCATCATCGTCCGTCTTGTTCTTCGGCTCCCACGTCATCTTGTTCTCCTTCTTCAGTCTCCGTCGCGCGTTGGCGAACCACGTCGACACCTGCGTCAGCGTCATCTTGGTGATGATCGCCAACATGATCTTCTCGCCTTTGGTCGGGTAAGGGTTCTTCTTGTGCTCGTTCAGCCACGCCTTCAGTGTCGCCGTCGATTCTCGCGTCGCATTCTTCCGCCGCGCCGCCAGGTCGTAGCTCGCCCCGTACCTGGAAAATAGTTCCGAATTATTAGTTATATGGTACATGAAGAAAGTTTGAAGTAGTCTTGTAGGTACAGGGATTATAAAACGTGTTTGATAGAGCTTTTTGATATGAGTTGACGTTGAACCAACAATATTGTAATTTACTTTGTTTTTTCTTCGTTGTTTTATTGCTTTTTTGAAAATTCAAAGTGACATTTCTGGACAAGGGATGCGCGGAACTTCTACACTAGATACCTGGATTCAAATCTTACTGTTTGCCAAAAGATTTTAGCAATGCCATGGTAGTGTAACCCGGGGGTTCAAAGCTAATCCAAAGCCCTGAGATATAAACAAAATATTGAGAAGTATCTTTGCATGAGGACTCCCTTAAAAAAAATGAAGCGATTAGTGTTTTATTCCCATTTTAGGATCGTGAGTCCAGAATAATGTAAATTTTGGCTGAAACCCTCTGGTGAAATTCTGCAATGAGCTACTTGTGTTGAACCATATATTATTTACTTTGTATATAATTTTACTAAATTAATTTGCTACCTTGGTGATTTAAAGTTTTCATCGTATAAGAATTATTTATATATACAAAGTTACAGAGCCACGATGTTTTTATTAATATTTCATCACATAAACACTGTGTTTTATTAAAAGCGAAAGACATGTGTGGAAAAATGACAATGGCATTGTTACGGTCTTATGCAGTCTAGTATTGCTCTATGGGGCAAAAGTAAAGCACCGCTTCGAGTGTTGACCTCACAACGTGCTTACGTTTTTTTCCATTGTGTCTGAAACTGTTTCAAATGTGAGTGATTAAATTACGATATCTTTAGTCGCATAATTAAGTTTAGTTTATTTCAACGCGATAAAGCAACACCATGTTGAAGAGCGAAGCACTCCATAAATGCGAGGTTTATACGCGGTGTCTAGTCATTAGGTTCAAAGAACACCATAAAAACCACCATAAAGCGGAGCCATAAGAAAGACATAAATGACGCCATAAAGTCCGCATTTGTTTAATCTGAGGACGCGACGCGCGGACTCGATACGAAATGAATTTGTATGTGTATGTATTTAGAGATTGAGTCAATGCCAATGCGATATGTCGGTACTTGCAGAATAGATTACTTAGTGTTATAAAAATACAGAGTGTTGAGATACTAAAAGTAGTGTATATTATTTAAACAGTCACCGGTACAATACTGTATACGTTATGTTTCAAGCTTACTATAAACAATTCTTTTAAGTATTAGAACTGTAAGTTCCTTTAACATTAAACAATACTGTATTGAGACCGTGTTGAGTAAAAGAACCAGATTAGCCATAGCTTTTATTCTAGGTTTATTTATTATTGCGTACATCTAAATCATTTAAATGATACCAAGTTTTTTTTCTGTAGGTTTTGTTGTCACAATCTTAAATCGCATAAAACTACTTGTACAATTTAGTGTTAATAACTAAAAATGTAACTTTCAAAATGGGTATATAAGTTTAACTATTAATTAATTACCACTCCGCTTAATGGAAGGTTCCCCTTTAACTTAAAGAATTCTGTAAAAAAAAAAAACTGGGAAACTTTTACAATAAATCGAGGAGGAATTCCAAAGAGGGTCTGGGAATGTATACCATAAAAGGCAAGAGCTGACTTATGTGGCCGTGGTGTAGGGACAAATCGTAGAGGAGCATGCACGGTGCACAGTGCACGGAGCATGCACGAACACTCAGGAGTGCTCACGAGCATCGCGGTGCTCACTGCTCACTGCTCAGTTTGTCACCGCTACCGCCTCCACCATGGGTCATCCCCGTTATTTATGTGGGGACGCTGAGAGTTGGAGGATATTTATATACATGAGTCACCTCAAGGGTTGGAGGTTTTGTTTTGTTTCTGATGTTTTGGTTTGAGGTCTAGGAAGGAATCTTGTGTTTGAGGAAAATGTTTATTTGAGTTAGTTCGGTATTTTCAAAATATTAAGTAAAAAAGTTGTATGCTTCCAAACATGAGTCACGAGGGACTGGAGAATTTAATATTTTCAAAATACATACACACATTTTAAGCGTGTTTATTGTTTTCGAAATACCTTCTAAGCTGCATTTCAAATTAATACGCCATCAGCGATATCCAAAGAGTTTATTGAATGTATTCTAAAATATCAGTAAAAAAACGAGTGTAGGATATTTTTTATTGTCCTTAAGATTTGTGTCGGCACCTTATGAAATCTATATATTTTTTAAGGACGGTTATTTTATTCATACGTTGCTTATGAAGTTTATTTTTTTCATAAGTGCATACAAGTCGTTTAGTAAACCGTCAGACCTTACTAGGTCAATTTGCTATCCCTCGATCAATTGTACATTATCAATTAATTAAGATGGAGACGCAACCTATCTGAGAATATTTCTTTAACTCACAGTTTTAAGAAAGGAAACCCGTTTTTGATTACACGGAACGCTGTTGTAGTATACTAAACTGAACTCTTAGTTATTTTATGTATCTTCATTGTTTGTACGGTGAAATATAATGATGTTCCCCGCTACGACAGCCATAGCAGGTAGCTTGGTACCGTATTCGCTAGCGTGTCGTCCCTCTACCGTAGTTCAGCGTATTTATGACAATACCCCTTGTTTTACGTATCTTCTACGTATTTTTTCATCGCGCGTGTTTCCCTCGCATTCACAATTCTCTGTTTAGCTTGTCTCCAGTGATGCATGGGACATTACATTGAAATACTATTGGGGGAACTGCCTACATCAGGCCTCCTGTCAGTTGTGGGACTGGGATTGTAAACTGTTGAAATGTATAAATCAACATGTGTCACTGATTTATAGTAACAAATAATAATTTAGTTTAGAAATTGAAAAATAATAATAACAAAGTAACTATTATACAAATGACATATTGGTCTTGGAAATATTTATAATCATCTAATGTATACTGTTTTTGTCTACTGTGATTTTTCAACATACAGTATGATTTTAATTAAGGCATCAAAAATTTAAACTATTATTTGTGTAAAGGTTTTATGAATTAATTATTTTGTACTTCTTTTTACTCAATGTGCTTGTAACTTCCCCAAAAGTAATAGTGGAGGTAAATGGCTCCTCCTTTGTTCATTGGACATTTTTATGATGAGAAGTAGATGATTTCTTATTCTTACCATCCATTAGGCTATTTTGTTTTTTTAGGTGTTTATTTGGTTATTTTATTGGTACTGAATAAAGAGGAGGTGATTATTTCTGTGTGAAGTAGATGGAAGTAGTTCACACTAATCCTTTGGGTCAGAAAATTTCTGGACGTCACCGACCAAAGTCTTGAAAAATCCGATGATCCAGAAAGTCCTCGAATCCCGAACAACCCCAGTAAATTCTGGATGAACGAAAAATCCAACTAATTATTCTCTTGTGCTTGACGATGTCTTACCTCCAAATTTCACATCAGTAGTTTACACGAAACCTTGAACAAATATTTAACAAATGTAGCGCGCTATCCAACAAACAATCCTAGATAGACATCAAGCGCTCCACACTTGCCAGATGTATAGTCCCACCCTAGTCTCCGCCGCTGATTCAATATGGAAATCGAACGCCTTTATATGCACCCACGCCCTCCAATGGCCCTTTTATTGAGTCGGGTGACGGCTTATTTCGCGGCAAACAAACCGCCCTCGCCGCGCCAATAGACGGTTATTTACCGGGTAATCCCGTGATCCGGTAGTCACTGGATCTTCAAACGATTGTTGTCAGTGTTTAATAATGAGTGCTGACTTGTGAGCAGGGTTTGATTGAGAGTTGTATTATTCCGGTTGGTTATTCTCAAATGATACAAGTTTCATGATTGTGAGTACTTTTGAGTTTTTAAGTATAATGTAGAACGTTATTGGTAGGGTATCGGAAACAGGGTGCTTTTTGCTCTTGCTTATGTGTCATAAGGTTCGGGTTTAATGATATTTACCAATACTATTTTTTTCTTACGTGTTGTAGGCTACGATTGATCTAATTAATTGTTTGTTTAGTTACTTTTATAATGTCATAAAATGAATAATTAACTGCGTTTGAATACTTTTTGGTAGTATTGTATCGGACAAGTAGTTTTCTTATTTTATAAAATCAATTTGATGATTTTAATGTCATTGCTTACAAATTCTTCATTTCTGCATTAATGAGTTGCGCAGTCCTTTGGGCATTAGACGTGTACATGATACAATCAGGTAATCATTTGATTTTTGTTGCGTACACTTTGTATGATGGAAGCTAACCTATTTGTGTACACCTCATATAATTTATGTGTACCTACACATTTAATATAAGAGTTTCGTCAAATGATACAGTAAATATACCGTACTATGTACACGTTCAGCAAGCCTACCTCATCACGTACACTGTTAGTACAACGTGTACTTGACACATGAGAGAGGTTCACCCCATTGTACAGTGTACATGTGGTGCAGTAAGCCTACCTCGTCGTGTACACTGTATGTACAACGTGTACACAACACATGTGAGAGGTTCACCCCATTGTACCGTGTACACGTAGTACAGTAAGCCTACCTCGTCGTGTACACTGTATGTACAACGTGTACACAACACATGTGAGAGGTTCACCCCATTGTACCGTGTACATGTGATGCAGTAAGCCTACCTCGTCGTGTACACTGTATGTACTACGTGTACACAACACATGTGAGAGGTTCACCCCATTGTACCGTGTACACGTAGTACAGTAAGCCTACCTCGTCGTGTACACTGTATGTACAACGTGTACACAACACATGTGAGAGGTTCACCCCATTGTACAGTGTACACGTGGTGCAGTAAGCCTACCTCGTCGTGTACACTGTATGTACTACGTGTACACAACACATGTGAGAGGTTCACCCCATTGTACCGTGTACACGTAGTACAGTAAGCCTACCTCGTCGTGTACACTGTATGTACAACGTGTACACAACACATGTGAGAGGTTCACCTCATTGTACTGTGTTCACGTGGTACAGTAATCCTACCTCGTCGTGTACACTG